AATCGTACGGTGTCGAATAATTTGGTGTCGAATAAATCTGTGTCGAATCGAGCGGTGTCGAATCGTACTGTGGTCAATAGAGTATCACCCCGCTACCACCGCTCTAGACGGCAAGCGCCCTATTTCCGCCTTCCCGATCTTCTTACTCGGTTTTGGCCGAGGTTGTGAGGAAGATCGGCCTCCCGTTTTCCTCCTACCATGCTCGCGTGCTCGCCCTCCGCCCGCATCAGCGCAGCTTTTACCGGGGTCCGGGGCGGCCAGTCCGAAGCGAGCGCTCGACGGACGTATAGGTCGTCCCTCGCCAGCCCCCCAGCAAGGGGCAATAGGGAGCCCCGGAGAGGGAGAGCTTATATTTTTTGTGGGCTCCCGGGGAAGAATCAAAGTTCCCTGCCTCGAGGGCGCACCGCCACTACCGCAGGACCCGGACTGGAGGAATTGGGAGACCTTCCCCCAGAATTCACCCAGCCGGGCTTTTAGAAGACCCTTTATCATATCTAAAAGGGTCTCTGCCTCTGTCCTCTGCCCCTCGCCTGGTCCAACCGCCTCCGTTTATACAGATACGGCGGATACAGTAGGGCGGGTCTCGGGGACCACCTTCTTCTGTGGACCTTCCACTTTTTCTCCTCCTTTAGCTCCCGACAGCCGGGGGAGCTTGAAGAGAGACGCGAAAAGCTGCGCTTGAAACTGGCTGTCCAAGACTGCCTGTTTCCTGTCAAACTGGGCTGTAGCCAGTTCCGCCGATAGTCCTCTCTTGTGCGGTCGCAAGCTCAGTTGAGAGCTCCTACTCCCTGAGCGACACAGGGTCCAATTCAGGCAAAGGGGAAAAACCTGCCTTGCCTCCTCCACCATAAAAGCCGGGGTGCGCGAACCCCTTGGCTTTCACCTTTCTTTTCTTACTCGAAGGGGCAGTAGCTACGGCCATTTCCATTCTCTTTGCAGTAACAGATATCTTCGCGGCCCCTGTGGAGCAGGCAGCGGATAGCCCGTCGTTGGATGACGACGGGAGGGAACCCGGGACAGTAGTTTCCTCTCGCCGGGCCCTGGGTGTCCGTTCACCCTTGACCGATACGCCTTTTTTCTTATTTTGACTCATCCCATAGTTTGCAAAATGAGTGGTTTAATTTCGGAATTTTTCTTCTCCTATGACGGTTCCCGACCAAGGGTAACGAGCCTAATCTGCCCGAGTTTGAAGTCAGGGTTTTCCTTCCCCTAGTCCAGTGGCCGACAGAAGCGCTTCTCGGAGCTGGACACCCTGGATTTAAAGTCAGGGTTTACTCCCCCATCCCAGTTGCCCCCGTCTTTGTGGACTAACGGAGCTGGAAACTCCGGGTTTTTGTTCGAGGTTTTTCTTCCTTTATTCTCACTCTTAGTACGGAAGCTCGAGGAAGGGTCTGTCTGGCCTGAGTAACTCTGCCAGGGACTAAGGAGGACTCCTCAAAGGAGTCCCCGCTAGCTTAGCCCTTTCTCTTCACCGCTTCCAAGCCCGGGCACCACAACAAGGTGGTGGAAAATCGCCCGGGAACCTTTTTTTTGTTACTAGAAAGAAATCCTTTATGGATACCCTGGCCTCGGAGAAAATGGCCGTAGTTATGTGGGACTCCCTCCCCCAGCCCGCAAGTTGGAGGAGGTTTACCCACTAAAACTTTCTAGGTGTGTCACAACTCGCCCGTAACGGGGAGAGGCCCGAGATTTCCTATGGAGGATGCGCTTAGGCCCCTCCCTGGGGCACTTGGATTTACCGAGGAGAGGAAAAGTTTGTGTACTCTTCCTCCCCCATGTGATAACCCGCTAAAAACAGATGGCACTATAGGACACACACTATATAGCGCCACTTCTCCTTGAGAGACTGCGTGCAAGACTGGCCAAAACTCCCCATCCTGTCCAGTCACGGTCCCTCCCGCGGTGACTCCACACACACCCGGGACGGACGGTACCGTCCCAAGACTAACAGTCACCGCGGTTGACCCACTAAGGTCCGAAAGACTTGTCCGCTTGAGCGACAGCTAACGATGGGAGCCGGCTCCCACCAACGCTTGCCGCCCCAGTTCTCTTCCTCTCCCGACACCTCCTCGTGCAGTTGCACAGGAGAAAGGAGGAAGAGGGGATTACTGCTACCGCTGTAACGGATCTCTAAGTTCGCGGGGAGTCGCGCAAGGGGCGGGTGCCGCCCGACAGCCCGCCCGCACGCGCCTTTGATGTCCCTGTTGAGGGACACGGGCCCGTTCCCGTTCCCTTTCGGCGGCCTCCTTTTGCTCCATTATCGTGGAGCAGAAGGAGACCACCGTCTTCCACTTACCTTCTTCCCCAGAAGCGAGGGCCTTGGGGAGACCCTGAGGGAGAGGTCTTCTCCAATCAGTGCGGTCAGTTCCCGGCGGTTGTCGCTCCACCGCGGACATTCCTCCGCGGTGTGCGCCGCCGTGTCCCTGGCCGCCCACATTCGTGGCACTGCGTCGTTAGCTCCTTCCCGATTCGACACAAGTACTCACCGAAGCAACTATGCCCGGTGAGCACTTGTGTTACCCGATAAGTGAGGTGCTCGACCCCATTCTTCAACCACAGCGCTACATAGGGTCGAAGCACCGCGACGATCTTTTGGACCGCCGCCCTTGGCTGGTCCAAGTGCTGTTTCCAATCGAGGAGCAGCTGTCGTCGGGCTTGACGCTCCAAATTGGCGAGAGCTTCTAGTAGCGCGTTATTAATTAGGCCCTCCTGCAGCAAGTCGACGAGACAAGAGTATCTCGTCGCGTACATTTTAGCCAGGAGGGCCAAAGGAGGTACTCTCGCCAATACGCCTGCCGTCTCTGTGGCCACGTCGCGGAAGCCGCAGATGGCGCGCAGGACGACTGCCCTTTGCGCCGCACGGAGTCTGTGGAAAAGACTCCGTGCTCCCGCCTGCATTGCGGCCTCCGCCCAAACTAGTGCTCATAGAGGGCCACCGAATGGACCACATTGACGTACAGACGTCAAGCCATCTGCTTCGGCCTCCCTAGCTTCGGTAGCAGACGGGCCAACGCATTGGCCACCTTGCAAACCCGAAGGGTGAGACGAGTAAAGTGCTCGTCGAACCTCCATTTTGGGTCGAAGTGCAAACCAAGGTACTTTACGGTAGTACTCACTTTGACCCTAGCCCTACCTATTCGGAGGCTGGTGTTTTTGGGCCGTCCACGACGGAGGCCGTGGAACCACATGACCTCCGTCTTGTGGACAGCTCCCTTAAGACCCAGCTTCTCAATTCTGCCAACGACGCAGACCGTGCCGACTTCGGCCAACCTGCGTGTCTCCTCCTACTCTTCCCCTTTGGCCACGACGAGAGTGTCGTCTGCATAGCAGACGACGTCGAGGACCCTGGGAAGAGCGGCCTGGATTACCACATTGTACCCGAGGTCCCATAACAGGGGGCCCAACACGGACTCCTGAGGAACCCTGCGGTACATTTCCTTTGTACGTGGTGATCCGTACCGGCCAACGTACTGAATTTTCCTATCGCGGAAATAGTCGCCGAGGATCCTGCAAAGATAGGGTGAAACCCGATGGTGACAAAGGGCCCACCTTGTACTATCCCAGGGGAGGGAATTAAAGGCGTTGGATATGTTGTGACCGGCCCGTTTGGTTATTCGACGCGAGGAGATCACGGTCGCCACTTATTTTTACGGAATAAAATAAAAAACCTTTAAAAGAAGTGGCAAGGCAGTTGGAGTCAAAAGCACAGTTGTTGGTGTGTGTAAATGTAATAATGATGTTCTTTATTTAATCGTTTGCAAAATAACGTTTCGACCATAGTTTTTGGTCTTTATCAAATTTGTTCTACAAAATTGATTACAAAAAAATAACAAA